ATATATAATTAATATATAATTATATGTACAGTACCTAATTTATATATAATTTATATATAATACTAAACAGACGATAGCAAACTCAATTTAGCCGCTCCGTAGCGTGGCGCAGGGTCGGAGGTAAGTAGTTCGGCTGCTCATCCACTATTGGTCCAGACTCTATCAATCTTGTCGCGAAAATACGTAATAGAAGGTACGTTATACGAAAGTTTCTACAATTTTTTCGCTACGTTATAGGAATTGTCGTTATAGGAATGTACGTTATAGGGAGGTCGACTGTATTAGCTGATTTGAGTACACTAAAAATAAGCAATCATATGGCTGAGAGTAGACCTGACTCGTACTTAGATTATAAAAATATTGTTATGAGGAATACACTTACCACTTTAAACGCTAGTCTTACCTACTTTATAATGATTAAGGTTGTGTACACATTAGGCGTTTTAAACGCGCGTTTTAGGCTGTGTACACACTAGGCGTTTTGCGTTGCGTTAAACGCGCGTTAGCAGCGTACACACCGCACGTTAGCTCGGCGTTAAACAACTGTTTAGTGGAGCATACGCACTGGCTCAGTTTGGAAATGAACGTGAAAGTAATTGCTTGTGTGCCCCTCCTCCATCGTCGCTATAAAAGACGATGGCAGAGGCAAAGAGAATTTTGGATGCACCCAATATTACGAGATAGACTGACACATGGAATGTTTGCGACGTTGTATCCAAAACTAAGACAAAATAAACCCAAGTTTTTTAATTCTTTTAAAATATCTATAAAATAATTTGACAATGGTTGGTCTTTTTTAGATTTCATCAATAAATATATCAGTATCGAAGTGATCGTTCTCCATTTCGGCCAACGTACGTCCACTCTACCCGAAAACGCGCGATCGAATGTACAGTAACATAGCAGAACATATATCTCAAAGCGCTCGGCTGACGCCCGCAAAACGCTCGTTCTAAGAAAAATCTATAAACGCGAGTTTAAAAACGCCTAGTGTGTACACAGCCTTAAAGAACCAAGAGTTTTGCATAGGTATGCATACTCAAACGCGTCAAACGCGCGTTGATAGATTTTTGTTGGAACGCGCGTTTCGCGGGCGTCAGCCGCGCGCTTTGAGATATATGTGCTGCCATGTTTAGCCGGAGTCGGAGTCGGAGTCGGATTGGTAAGGAAAAGTCGGAGTCGGAGTCGGAGTTGGAGTCGGTAGATTTGTACGCGACTCCACAGCCCTGGTTTGTGGCATAGTACGATTGCCACGAAACTTTGGGAAGTTTTTTTAATATACTCTCGCGAAGGTTTTTGGGATTTATCCTACGATAGATGGCGCGCGTTTACACGAGCATTCGAGTACAGTGTGTTCGATCAATTTCAAATTGTAAAGACCATTTCCCCCTTCAAAAAATATCTCTATATATGCATTTGTGAACTGTTATTTACGATATTTGTAATAATTTTTTTTATCACTTTATTTTAACTTTTTTTTGCTAATTATGTATTTGTTTGAACTTCGTTAAAACCTTAACTGTACCCCGAACAACAACCGAAGTTGTAGGAAGAAATTTGCGTATTTTACCGATCTAGGTATCCCCCTTTTCCTAAATTTTAGTATCGATTCAAAATAATTTAAAAAGACAAATTACAATAAAACGGTTTATTATCCAACTATCAGAAATTTCACAACATGCCAAGGAAGAGAGGAAGGAACAATTAAATAATAAAAATTATAAAGGATTAAAATATACAGTGGTGCCTCGTATAACGTACGCCTCGAATAACGGACTTTCTGTTTGACCGTTACGTGACTCGAGCAACGGACTTGCTGCGAACAACGGACTTTCCGTTCGGCAGTTACGTGAGACGAACAATGGACTTTCTTCGAACAAGTGCGAATGATGTTTCCACTCTTTTGCCGTTGCCAATGACAATCTGCTATTTTTAGGATATATTAGTATTATTAGAATGTATTATTAGTATATCTGAAGTAGAAATGTAATGTAATATATGTTGATGATTTAAATAAACATTAAATGTAATGTAATACAGTATATGTTGACGATTCAAATAAACGAAATGTAATTGTGTAGATGCCGAGGTGGCGGGACGAAAAGAGGTTGTAAAAAACAAACGGAGCGAGAGTAGCTCGTAGAAGTGTTTAGTGATCTTAATTAATAAAGAATTATTCGTATCATATAATCTGGCAAGTTAAGTCATTTATAATGCATCATGGCTTCTAAAAAAACAGAAAGGTGATTTCAATTGAAACAAAGCAAGAAATCATCAGGAGTGAAAGTTGACAAAAACTTTCTTGTCGAATGGGGAGAGGTTCAGGAGTTTACCAACACTCATTATCCAAACAGAGCTGAGGCCAACAGGATCAATGATCTCTACGATGACACCTTTGTCCGTCATTTCCGACAGGTGTTAAAGAAGAAAGAGAAACAGACCACCTTGGTCATGTTTTTCAAGAAGCCAGCGGGCAAAAAACAAAGGATGGAACAAGAGAAGTTGACCCTGCAAGTTCCGGTAGCCTCTCCTGAATCTGACTCCGATTAAAAAACAATAAAAAAAGACCCGCTGCAATGTGTAAAAAGTCTGTATCTGTATGAATGTGTAAAGAAAGTGTTCTTCCACCTCCTCCTCACAACATCTGACTACCCGGCATAATTGGTGTCTGCTCCATTTTCATTTTTTATGGTACAGTACGGTTATTTTATGCTGCGGAACGAATTATATGTTTTAACATGTATTTCTATGGGAAAATGCGTTTCGTATAACGGACGTTTCACTTAACGGACGTGCACCTGGAACGGATTAAGTACGTTGTACGAGGCACCACTGTATATATATATAAATGGGGAATATCGCACTTCTGACAATCGCTGCAAGTATATGGGCTAAATTTGGAGAATCTGTGCTTTTCGCATGGACAACTGTATGTAGCCAGCTCACGCGTCGGAAAACCTTCTGATTATTCGTGTACACACCAGACGGAAAAAACAAAAAATATCGTGTATCCACAAACACTCCAATATATAAATAAAATTGAAACGACACTTTGAATGTTCTCCCGATGAAAATGAATAATAATAATAAGTTTCAATAAAAATAATAAAATGTAAATTGAATTTTATCATAACGAGTTCGCTTGAATTTCGTTTCTTCTGAGATCGCAGCAATGCGCGACGGGTAAGCTAGTTATATATAAAATATATATATAAATAGGAAAGAAAATCGATAACTATCTAAAATAATCTAAACAATAAACTCGCTAATATTTATAAACCAAATAAATTTTTCGAATGTCCAAATCAATGAATTTAAAACGTTTGTAAAAAAAAGAAAAAAAAAGAATTATTAAGCTTTTACACTGAAAGAAAAAAATTTAAGTGTATATAAATTGATAAGAAAATTAAAATATAAAATTAAAAATTTTAAATGTTTAACCATATAAGTTCAAAGTATAAGTTCAGTGTAAAAAAATATCAACAAAAAAAAAACAAACAATTTCAGTCACCAGAGATCGCTGAACTCGTTCACATTACTATGTTTGAATTCTCTTTCTCTATACATCTATATATATTTTGCCATTTTGGTTCATGTTTTTATTAATTATGAAAACGGATCAGCGTATAATATTTCATATATTTTAATTGTCATAAGATCATTTCAACACCAGAGTGTCATGGATTTCGCCAATTTATTAGAATTAGCTAAGCAAAACAGTGAAGATGCCAGTAAACAAGTAAGAATTGTGTTTTAAACATTAAAATTTGATTCACTTTCATTTATAACTCTTAAATTTAATTGTTATCATCATAATGATTAACCTCAAGTAAACATTTTCAGTGCCAACTATTGAATTAGTTATAGATAAGTCTCATAACTTAAATTTATTCATTACTTTATGGAAAGAGTATTTTACAATTTAATGTTTATTTAAAAACACATTATGAGACTAAATTTCTAATTGTGAATGTGTTAAACAATATACATAGAATGGCATTCATTCATTTAAGTGTCATACTTGCCAATTTTACATTGTAAATGAGACTGACTTGAAGCTAAGAAAGATTGACTTTGAAATGCATAATTATATTAATACATTGACTGCCAGCTATGAGTTAACTCGTAGGTGACTGTTTTTGTTCGGATGCCTCCTGTGAGTTATTTTATGAAACGTGATCTGGTCTACGATGTCTGATATGAACGTACTCTTAGAAAATAGTTGTTAATAATGAATAGTGCCTGTCTGGATTAAAAATTAAAAATAATCGTGGTATCACTGAACAGAATGTTTATTTTGAAAAAAAAAAAAAAAAAATAGAAAAATTTACATGGTGTTGGAGAGTGGTTTTAGCAATAATAGGTTAGCAGTCAACCTATTATTGCTAAAGGATGTACCGTACATAGTTAATTTTAGGGCATCCATTCGTATAAATAACATACTTGTCAATCTTGCATTGTAGATGAGGCTGACTTGATAGCTAAGAAAGGATGTTCTAAATCTTTGTAAAGCTGGGCTGTGTTCAGTAATGCAGAACATCTAAGTTAGAATTCTGAGTGGCTTAGTGGACGGATCTAAGAATGTTCTGAGAATCATTGAACGACTATTTTTAGTTAAACAACTGGGCAAAATGGTGGTAGAAGTTAAATTATTATAACAATTAAAATGGCTGTGTTCAGCAGACTCAACAGTTGTAACTGAGCAAATTGGTAGCTGTTACATAGCAACCTGGATCTGCTGAACAATGAGTGACATTGCATTGGAACAAAAAGTCTCATTGGTCAGTTTCAGCTAGCAATAGGTAGTGTAAATAAAGACACTACTAAATGTGACATGAAAACACCAAACATGTTCCAAAAGTGTGCTACTGTAGAGGATGTTCAGCAGAAAAATACTCAGCAGCTCTGGAACTGTTGAGTCTACTGAACGTAGCCAATGTTATTCTCTCATTCAAATCATTAACTCATTCTAAAATGACTTCAAAATGTAAAATTATCAATAAAAATAATAGCTTGTACTGGAACTAGAAAGAATTAATCAAAATTATCACCTTTTTACAAATTCCAGCAAATAATTTAATATCATAAAAACGTAAAATTATCATATGTCAGTATAACAGATTCCGAATATATTTTAACAGAAGATAACGGTCCATTTTGTTGATTACAATTAATAATTGCTTCATTAATTTTATCACGATCTGACGCAACTTCTATTTCAATAATTGTATTAGTTACTTCATCCTTTCCAACCAGTTTGTTTGTGACAATTGTTGCGATCATAATAAAATATGTTTAGTTCAACACGAGCAGCCATCTTGCAAATTTATGACGAGACAAAAACAATGACATCACTAGTAGAAGTTAGCATAGATAAAAGAAGCTGACTAAACTAGCTAGAATTCTAGTGGTGCGAGGAATCAAGCAGTAATTAGAAACGAGCTCAATATTGCAGCATAATTAGAATTAGCAAGAATTCTGCATTACTGAACACAGCCCTGGTTATATACTAGTAAATAACACCAACAAAAACCTTCAAAATTCACACACTGCACAAACATCATTAGCACATTGCAAGTATTAAAACATATTGAAAAAATAGTGACTGTGCATGGTTACCCAAGAACAGTGGTGCAAGGTTTAGCAGGGAACTATATTAAAAGAATGAATGATCACACTACTTTTAATCTTAACAAGGGTAATAGTAAAAGTTTGGAGCATACAGGCAAATATATACTAGTTGATTATGACTGGGGATTAAAGGTTTTATACAAAGAATTTGCTTCTAATAGTGAGTGAGTGATAACATACAGATGTAACCCATCAGTTAATAAGTTATTAAGAAATGGCATCTTTGCCATTAACACCTACAATGCACCAAGGGTATATAGTATACCTGTGAGAGACAACAGAATTCATAGAGATCTAGTATACATTAGTTCAACCAAGAGGTCCCTTAAAAAATGGCTGGTGGAACATAAATATTATATACAAAACAAAAAGCAGACCACCGCCCTAGCAATATATGCTCCTGACACTGACATGGAAGCTAAACTACAGCAAGCTATTCTCATTAGATGCATCCTTCACACCAAAACTTTTAGCTCTTGAAATTTTAAAGCCAAACTAAAGGGAGAATGTATCAGTTTTAAGGAAGAAGCAAACATCTCTCATGCTTGGTAGTCTTTTTTTGATGATCCCAACAACATTAAAAATTGCAGCTCAGCATTGTGACAATGTCACAATAAATGATTGTTTGTTTTTTTGTTAATTTTTTCTAGAACGTCACACAACTGAGATGTTTATTTAGTTACGCAACACAATATTTATTTTTGGGACATCCTAGATTGCATCATTTAAAAAAATGAATAAATGTAAGTCTAAATAGGGCATAAACTCTAGTGTAAAACTCATATTATTTTCTACTTTGATAAGGATGTGTAGGTCTATGGGATAAATAAAATAAAGTCTAATGCATATATATTAATTTAATCATATTTATTCATAGAACTGTGGCTTAAATGAAACTGAATTGTAGCATCTATCTGCTGTTCAGCAAACACTTTTTTGTCATACAATTCTAGCAGTTCTTTTCTTCTCCCACAGTTTTCAAATTTTTTTGTTATATTCAATGGAACTCAAAGTAAGCTTATTATCTTCCCTCTTTTCACTCACTAATTTGTAAAGCTCTGAATAAAACTTTTCTTCAGTTTTATTACTACTGTAATCTAAACATTAATTAAAGAACAGAGCATGAATGAAAATACAAATACAAAATATAAAATATGATGGCTGCCTTAACAGTTTACATCATTAACCAGCACCATGATGATTTTTTTTTAACACATAACTAATTAATACATTTAACACATAAAATAATGTCAATCATCATTCTAGTGGACAATAGTCCACTAAAATGATGATTGACATCTCTGCTCAGGCTATTTGTGTTATTGCCAACATAATGTGCGATGTTGTGAATGTCTAGTTGTTAATTAACATGATTTTTGTATTTCAGTGACTGCAACATACACAGTGTATACTCATAAAGTAGCTGAAGTTTACCTCTATCAAGAATTTATTGCTATTGAAATCCTTAATAACTTTATCAGATTAGCAGAACAAGTCTCAAAACTTTTAATCAAGTGCTAACAAAAGCATTCTGTTCATTAGCTTAAACAAGTCTTAAAAATGTTAGAAGTATGGCAACTGTTGCAAATGGATTCTGAAAATGTGGGTTATTTTTTTTTTTAATTCTGATGCAGTTAATTTCTGCAATGCACACAAAATACTCTTGAAAGCAAGACCAATAATTCTGATGCAAGCAGATCTTTTGATTAGCCGCTTAATCACATTTCACTGCCAAGTAGTATGATATAGCAAAATTGGTAACTAAAAAATCTCCAACTAGCCTTTGAGGCCAAAGACATTAATATTAATTCTGTACTACATGAAATGGACTCTGTTTCAAAGACTCACATTTCAGTACCTAGTGCATCTTCTAGTCAACTTGAGGCCCAAGTACAGCCACTACTGAATCTACCATCTTGACTTAATTTGTAGACAATGCAAACCTGAACACAGATTTGCTCTGTCTAGGAATTTACATTGTGAATCCTTGAGTTTGAAGAACTTGATGGATTTGAGTCATTTCTGATCTCATCTCCGAATGAAGTGTCTTTTGTATTTAAAACCATTGAAGTTTCTGTAGCAAGCACTAGTAAATAGCCACCAACATCTGCATCATCACAGATAGCAGCCTTTTTTCCTTATCATACTACACCTCCACATGAAACCTAGTTATCAATACCAGAAGGTACAGCATTTCCATAGTCTAATAACTATATCTGCAGTGTCTCAATCTGGATCAGCAAAGAACACTTATATTGGCCAAAACCTATTGTATCAAAGAGAAGCCATGAAGACCCCAAGTGCCATTTCTTCAGAAGCCTAAAGGAAATTTTATCGTGAGAAAAAATATTAAAAAGAGTGGGTTGCAGCACAGAAAAAGAAAAAAGAAGGAAAGAAAATTAAATAATCAGATTGTTGTAATGAAAAGTTATGTAATCTATAATGTGTATTTTATTCACAGAAAAACTCATTTCCATTAGATTTTAAAAATATTAAAATAAATTTATATTGTAATAATAATACAAATACTTTCTAAATCAAATGTATTTAATATGTTAAGCAATAGTACATGATTGGATATAGGTATAGATTGTAAGTAACATTATATGTATATTTAGAAATAAAATTACAAAGTAATCTATAAAATAGTCTGCAATGAAAAATGATAGTTCTGTAAACTGTTTGTAGTGTAGTGTGGTAATGAATGAATACAATTTTTTATTACATTATATTTGTTTATATAAAGAGTAGGTTATTCTTTAGATATTAATTGGTAAACAATTAATATCTAAAGATCTATTCCATTAAATAATTAATAAAAACAGCGTGGTATAAGATGTTACCATCTACTCAGCCATTAAACAAATTGCTGCTTATAAAAAAGCTAGGTTCTTTTCAATTTCTTGTTTAATTGTTTGGCAAGTCTTGAATTATGCAAGGTTATTTACTGAAAAATGACAAAAATTTCAAGTTACATACAAATTTTTCCAAATTATTTAAATTATTTGACCAAAATAATATGATTAATTGTCTTCTTTATAACTGGTGTGTGCTGTGTGCAAGCAATGAATTATAAATGAGAAATTAGTACAACAAAACCATCTACAG